GGCAGCCCCGCTGCGCCCCAGGCCGCCCGCAGCCAGGGAGCGAATGCCAGCGCATTGCCAGAGTTCAGGTTACAGCAAACCAAATCAAATACTCAGAATAAAATATACTTTAAACTTGTTGAACTATGAAGTAAATTCTCTCCACCTGTCAGGCTGAAATATGTAAGTTTATTCTAGCCTTAAAGCTGCTGATCAGCTATTCATCATTTTAGAATCAAGAATGTGACACGCTTCGGTCCATTTAAAAATAATTTATTATAAGGTGATATATTTCAACATTTTCCAGCTCTGGACCTTCACTGTGCCAGTGCACACACCTAAAGAAGCGATCCTTGTTCCTTGGAAAGTCTTCCTAATTGTCTCCACTTCATCGATAGATTCTTCGTGGCTCACGCAGGACGACACCTCCCTCCTCCATAGCTTTTTCAAATTCCTGAATCTTGTTTAAAAGACAGAGACACGAGTAAGCAGAAAGAAAAGCCACCAGCACTGAAACACCAATGGGGACATGGTACGTGGAGGCGCAGAGGGTAACAGCCTCACAGAACCACAATGCCAGAACTGCAGCGTGTCAGAGCTCCCTTCTGAGTGCTGCAAGGAAGGATGGTCAAGCCACGTAAGAAAATTAATGGTGAAGTAAAATTAATGCCTAAAAAGGAAAAAAGGGCCAAAGGAATAAGGAGATGGGTACTTGCCGAGTCACAACGGTATTCCCAGGGGATAACGGCTTTAAAGTTCACAAAGTTGATGCCTGCCTCCAAACAGCGCTGTGCCATCACGCGGCCGAGGTTTTTGCATGCAGCTACTCCCTTGGGACTGTATAAGTGTCTCTTTATGGCCCACTCCCGGGTGGAGGCAGATACCACAACATCCCCATTGCAGCGCTCAACAAAGGCTTCCACGTAATGCTGCGTCCGCTCCAGCCGCAATCTGAGTGAGGGAATGACATGGGATTATGTCGTCTTTTCCAGAGAACGCATTCAAATGCTTAAATGACTCCCTATATGAAATAAAGTATAATGTGCTAGTGCTATTTA